GACTGCACAGTTTATAAGTTATATACATGTTGGATATGCAACAGAACTCTAGTCCACAGTCTCTGCGTATATCAGGCTCTGCCATGAGCCCAAACTACTTTTCCTTCGGTTCTTTTGAAGCAGTCTGCTCCGAGAGCCTCGTCCATGCTCCTGCAGCCGCTTCATGCTTCCGCCCAAAACACACACACGGACCAATCACAGCAGAGCCTCTCTCACAGCGGAGCTTGTCTGCATTTTAAGGGTGAGCGGAGGCTACGTAAGGGCCTTGCGGTGATCCTTGTGTTGTGCAAGTCACGTCACGTCACGTCACCACCGTAAGCTCCGCGCCGCGCGACTATACACTAGGATTTAGTGCTTCTATTTGAGCTATTTTTAGAACAGGCCAGCGGGCGACTCATCTGGTCCTTACGGGCGACCTGGTGCCCGCGGGCATCGCGTTGGTGACCCCTGATCTAAACATATTTACCATCAATAGTTGATCACAGAATTTTAAATAGTCAAACAGTGTGTGTTCGCGGCAGACTGACATATTTGGGTTATTTGTGGGCGGCCTGGTGGCTGAGTGGGTAGCACTCTCGCTTCTCAGCAAGAAGGTTCTGGGTTGGAATCCTCCGGTTTCCCCTACCACTAGTGTGTGTTTGTGAGTGTGAATGTGGGACAACTTAGGGTATGGAAATTTACCCATGGCTACAATTCGGAGTGATGTGTTCATTCACATGTACTGTCCCAACCAAATAAACAAAAAACAGCCATTTTCAGATCTCTCCAGAAATGTTCAATTGGATTCAAGTCTGGGCTCTGGCTTGGCTACTCAAGGACATTCACAGAGTTGTCCTGAAGCCACTTCTTTGTTATCTTGGCTGTGTGCTTAGGGTCGTTGTCCTGCTGAAAGATGAACCGTCGCCCCAGTCTGAGATCAAGAGCGCTCTCGAGCAGGTTTTCATCTAGGATGTGTTGTCAAAAAAAAGCTTTGACAGACGTGTTCAGAATTTGATACAGAAATAAGGCCAAGAATGCAAGAGTTAAAAATAGAACATTTAATTCTCTTTACAATTAAATATCGATACAAAACTCTTGGAGCCATTAATTCTCTAAAACTAACCCTATGCTGAGCCATTCTAAACTGTCCCTCCAGGCCTGAAAATGTGCAGAGAACATGCAGGCGCTCTGCATTATTGTTGTTAATATTATAAAAGTGAACGTGTGTGCTAACCATCCCTCGCCTGAGTGTTAGCCTGCCTGCTGCCATACATTACTCTAAAAAAAGCATACACTTTTGTTTGAACTTGCACTGACAAAATTGTGATAACAGGATCCCTGGTATCAATAAAGCTGGAGAGCATGGCGACGCGGCCAATGTTGGTTAAAGATGTGCGACAACTGTCGCCCTCACATCAGACCTACTCACTTGAGGCGTTCCATGCGCTCATTCTCCACTTTGCACCGAAACACACTGGGTTCTCCTTCCTAGGCATGTATAGCCGGTAAATATTGGCAGATTTTTTTGAAACTGCTGTTTTACTGTCCTATTTGGGCTTCTTCTTGCTGCCCTTCACTTCAACCATAACAGCAACAGAGAAGTTCTGCGATCTGATGGTGAGTTCCGCCATCAAGTACGGTACCCAAGGGTTTTTGAAGGGTGCTGCAGTGGTCCGTCCAATGAAGGAGACTCCGTCATATGATGGTTTGCATCAAGCGTTACAAAGAATAAAATGGATTGTTCTGTTGGTATATGCATCAAATGTATGTCTGTATGTGAGAGCCGGGGGGAGCACGTAATTGCAGTAAATGAAACTACTGATGCGTTTAAAAAATAATTTATTTACAAACAATAAATGTTAAAAATGTCCGATGTAAAAAAGCGCGGATTAAAATTAGTCCCGACACGTGTTCGTTCAGCCCAGGTCCCTTCAGCGTCTCGGGTCCTGCAGGCACAAAAGCACAGCGGCAGCAGAGTGGAGGCCAACAGCAAAGCTGCACCGACATTTCGTCCACTAAACACGAGCACCGCTGCTTTCACACACTTACCAGCAAGGCCGAGGTTTTACACTCGGCCGCCGTCTGGATTACGCCTCGCGGTGCTCAACCCGGGACAATGCGTCTCTTGCGGTGCCACGACCCTGGAGGCAGAGCACAACCACACAGAGAACGCCAATACACCCCGCAGAATCCCCCCGCCAAAGGCTACTACATGAACACCACTACTCAATGTGTTGAGGTACTTACACGCGAAGGCAGAGCGTCCTCTGCCTCCTGCGGTAGTTCGGCTTCGTGGTGTTCCCTGGGGACTCGTGAGGCGATGGCGATCATTGTGATCCGGGTCGTGGTTCCGGTGCCGTGCTGTCCCGTGTCCTGCTCTCCGTATCCCTGTGTCCTCCCTTTCTGCTCCCAGTCCGCCCTTATGTGCCCATGCTCACTCAGTTGCAGGTGCGCTGATTAAGCTGTGAGTGCAGGCATTGGCCGGGGCTCATGTGGCTCGGGGCAGCAAGGCATAACGTGAAATAAATAACACTCATAAAACCAAATAAAACCATGCAATAAAACAGTCCATGCAACAAATAAAACCACACAATAAAAGTCCACACTAAAAAATATAAAACGTGCCTGCTTACATGTAACCATTAGAATATGCGTTTGATCTTAGGGAGCATCTGTATCAAACCTACAGCAGCACTCACAAAGACAAAGCAGTGCTCTTCTGGCATCCTCTGCGCCACAACCCCTTACATCATTCCAGAAAGTTCCAAAGGAGGAGGCAGTCCGACAATATAAAGCGCTTCATTCTAGATTTTCTTCCTAGTAAATACTGTTTTCCTGTTAGCTCATTTCCACCACTGAGCGGGAAATCCAGAGCTCTGACTGCAGACACTGCTCCCTCTTCACCACAACAGTCAGACACAGCGACCATGTCTGAAAGAGTGAATAAGACCATATACAGTCTTCATCTTATGAGAAAACTCGCCCATGGAGATGTTGGTAAAGAGGTGGAAATAATGTGTGCATATTTTCCTGTTGGATTGTTTTCCATCGCTTTTTTCTGGTTTGAAAATGCACAGAATGTTAATTGTAAAAACTATATAAATATCCAATTACTTAAGTGTTATGAGTGTTTGATATAAAAACAATACATTAGAGATAATATTAGTCCAATGTAAACTCCAATATTTCAGATTTTGATAAGACAATGTTCCTCCATAATTGTAAATACTGACAAGGCAAGTTCACACTTTGTTAGTCATACCATATTTTATTTGTGTTTTGTATTGTGTAAGCTGTAATTTTTTTTGTATGTTCTGGAAAGGTATTCCTTATTATGGAAACAATGCATGATGGTATGGACTTTCTTATGTGCCTGCCCAGAATGCCATATGCCCAGCGCACCACCTGCCTGTAAGCTGTGTAGCGATACTGCCTGCAGAGTTACATTTGCACGTTAACATACACTATGATAGAAATGGATGGAAAAAGATGACCTACTCATGCTGGGTAGCAACGAGAGGGCCAAACTCCTGCCTGAAGTTGAGGTAAGCAATCTGAAGCACATAAGGATTCAGACAGCAAGCTTCAAACCCAGGATGTTCTATCAGACAGGTAATATTTGGTTGTGGTGGGGTTATCTTTTCCACCAAGGTCCAATAGGCATCAACCTCCTTGCAGCACATGCTTTCCTCAGCTGTTGGCATGAGTTGACATTTCCCACACAAACACCTGAGAGAAATAATTAAAATTACAAGAATATTACATTAGCTTTCAAGGTAGTGCTAGTTGCCACTGGAGGGCAGCAGCAGCATAATTTTATAAACTGCTATATAATAATCATGTTTTATACAGGATATATCATTTTGCGCGGTTGTCGCTGCCTAGCTTACCAAGACGATTGCCCTGTTCGCCACTCGTTTTCTTGACACCTTCTATGGCCATCATTCTTCACTCAGGCGTTCACGTTCTCCGTGATTTATCACAACAGGCTCAAAATTGTATGGAATAGGTCCATCATACAACAGTTGTGATGCATTGCGCTCCATTGTCATGCTGTATATAATATACAGCAATGTGTAGTGTACCTTACGTGACGTGACGTAGGGCTCGGAACCGGGTTGGAATGCGGAAGTAAATATTTTCACATAAAATGCAATAAACTGTTGATGTTACTTCTATTTTATATAACTGTTAACATTAATAATACATATAATTGTGTTCTCTACATTTTAGTGACATTTGTACCCTAATCTTTAACACACATGCACAGAGGTTTTCAGAATTTTTTTTTTTTTGCGTTTTCATGACAAAAATACTGTTTTAATGCGAGAAAAAGCGATCGCAAAAAGCCCGGAAGTAGATACCGGGACATTTTAGGAACATTTGCAGTGGATCAAATTATGGATTTAGGTTAAGTTTATGTTTGGGTCACTCACCGCTGATCCTTTGTTCAGTTTTCATGCACTTCGAGAGAGTTCTAGTTTGGAAGTTGCTAGCCGAACTGTTGCTAGCATAGCCACGGGAAAGCCTTTGGGAACTTTTATTTTTTGTCATTAAATAAACCTTTCAGCATTCCCAAGAGTCGACTGAAGTTTACATTTTCATGAATCACACAAAATAAACAGAAAATTCTGAAAACCTCTGTACACGTGTGTTAAGAACGTATATGTATAATGTATTCTCCGATTAACATTTAACTGTGCTGATTGATAGGTATTTGCGTTTATTGAGCGTGGCTGTCGGTACTCATTTACCGATAATGACTTGCGTAATATACGTTATCCCTCACATATTGAGTGAGACAAGCCTCCTCTCTGACAATGTTTAAAACCAGGTTAAAGACAGTTCTGTTTAGCTGTGCATACAACTGAGGGATTTTATATTTGTATCTTTCTTTTTAATGTTCTGTGATTATTTATGATTTTAATGCTTTCTTGTTTTGTTCAGCACTTTGAATTGCCTTGTGTATGAATTGTGCTATATAAATAAACTTGCCCTGTCTTGCCTTGCCTAATATTGGTCTACGGTGCAGCTAAATCATCCAGTGGCGGCTGTGGGTATCCAAACAACTTAAAGTCAAGTTCATACATCTTGTAGAGCTTCCTCATCGTGGCTTTAGGCACAGACTTGAACCAGACTTTCACCGAGTCAGCGTTGTTTGGTATGGAAGGTGAATGCGGGAAGGCGATGTCTATGTTTAGCATCTTTAGCAGAAGGTCAGCATCTTCCTGAAGTGTCTCTTGATGACCAACGAAGTCATACCTGGGGGAAACACAAACACAATGTGTGGATTTTTCGCTGAGGAGCCAAAGAATAATAAATACAGTGGTCTCTCGCTAAAACGTGGATGACCTGTCACAGATTTCTGTTTGTACTTTGTACTGCCTACAGCAGGGATGAGAATGGGACATTAAAAAAAGAAAACAGCCCAAAGAGTCAAATAACGACTCACAGGGTTCTTTCTTAACTATGCCACACACAAAAAAAAACAAGATTGCCTGTTGTGGTTTGGTCTGTTTGATTTGTTCACAACCATTTAAATTTTTGGCCGCAACCAACATGAATTGTTTATAAAAGGAAAATTTTAATAAAAAGGTCCTCAGTGACAAAGATGAAGTCCCACAGCATTGACTGCCATTGACGTGGAAACACCCATCCATCCATCCATCCATTTTCTTCCGCTTTATCCGTTGCCGGGTCGCGGGGGCAGCAGTCTAAGCAGAGACGCCCAGACTTCCCTATCCACACACACTTCCTCCAGCTCGTCCGGGGGGACCCCAAGGCGTTCCCAGGCCAGCTGAGAGACATAGTCCCTCCAGCGTGTCCTAGGTCTTCCGCGGGGCCTCCTCCCGGTGGGACGTGCCCGGAACACCTCCCCAGGGAGGCGTCCAGGAGGCAGCCGGAACAGATGCCTGAGCCACCTCAACTGGTTCCTCTCGACGTGGAGAAGCAGCGGCTCTACTCCGAGCTCCTCCCGTGTGACTGAGCTCCTCACCCTATCTCTAAGGGAGCGCCCAGCCACTCTGCGGAGGAAGCTCATTTCAACCGCTTGTATCGGCGATCTCGTTCTTTCGGTCATTACCCAAAGCTCATGACCATAGGTGAGGGAGGGAACGAAGATTGACCGATAAATCGAGAGCTTTGCCTTTCGGCTCAGCCTGCGCATGCAGCCGAAGCAAACCAAGATGGCGGACAGTGAATTGCTTTAAAAGTTAAAATAAAAACGAATTAAGACACGAATGTCACTTTTAATGCAATTTGAGGCGAGATGTTGATGGTTCCGTTTTGTCACATGGGGGTTTTAAGAATCAAAGTTTTGTGTAAAGTTTAGTTAAAGCAGTCAACTGCGCCTGTGAAACCACACTGCTGCTGTGTGATCGCAGTCCGCGGCTGCTGACGTAGGCTGATGACGCGTCCCGTGGCAACTCTACTACTTACAACTGGTCTGTCGGGTTGATAATGGAAATAATTGATTTAATTTCATGCATGTATCGTACTGTATTTAATATGATTAATAATAGTGTGTTCAAAGAAATATTTAATTAGATACTTTTTTTTTTTTTTCTCTCTCCCCATTTTCCATTATCAACCCGACAGACCGGTGTTCTGTCGAGTTGGTCTGCCTGTCGAGATGATCTGTCTCAGCTGTTAATGATGTAATGCAAACCAGCGCTGCGCGTCTCACGGCAGCCAAAGCTGCTAAAAGTTAAATACGAACAAATTAAGACACGAATGTCACTTTTAATGCAATTTGAGGCGAGATGTTGATGGTTCCGCGTTGTGATATGTCGGTTTTAAGAGTAAGAGTTTCGTGTAAAGTTTGTTTTAAGCAGTCCACTGATCCTGTGAAACTACACTGCTCGTGTGCCCAAATCTGACTTGCGCATGCACAGCAACCCGCCAGAATGGGGAAAAAACTCAATCTAATTAAATATTTCGTTTGAACACACTATTATTAATCATATTGAATACAGTATGATACATGCATAAAACGTAATTTATTTTTTCCATTATCAACCCGACAGACCAGTCACAGGACGCGTCATGGCCCTGACGTATGCAGCAGGGACTGCTATCACACAGCAGCAGTGTGGTTTCACAGGCACAGTTGACTGCTTAAACTAAACTTTACACAAAACTTTGACTCTTAAAACCCCCATGTGACAGAACGGAACCATCAACATCTCGCCTCAAATTGCATTAAAAGTGACATTCGTGTCTTAATTTGTTTTTATTTTAACTTTTTAAGCAATTCACGTCCGCCATCTTGGTTTGCTTCGGCTGCATGCGCAGGTTTGCATTACATCATTAACAGCTGAGCGGCACAACTCGACAGAACACCGGTTTCTTGTTCCTGAGTTCGTTTTGGATTTTAATTTTGTTTTTACCTTGGACATTATTTTTATGTTTGTCATTAAATCATTATTTCCTGCATTCTTGCAATTTGAGTCCTCCTTCTGCACCTTGTGACAGAATCTCTGAATCAAATGTGGATCTGAAAATATGTAACAAACTTCAGCTCATTTAAAGGGACACTAATTTTTAGTGCCATCTAGTGTTGAGATTTTATATTGCAGTCTAATAAAGTACGGTGCCTGTAGAGGTGAGGAGCACTGTTGCCTACACTGTTTGACAGTGCTCCTCAACTCTGTCATTCATCAGACTGCCAATGAAAGAATACTTTAGTTTGATAAATGACCAGATCTCCCCAAACGTTTCGGGCACTTGACAGTTGCGTGGAGGAGTGGATGTAAACAAGGCCGCGTTCAGGTGTGGCATCCGCTGCATGGAGGCTCTGAGTTTTAGCATGGATCTATTATAATATATAGTTTTACAAACACGGTGTGCAGAGAAGAGATACATGGAGGAATAACGTCTGTGGATTTCTGCATAGTCATTTTTCTAAAAGATTGTTGTTCGGATCGTTCTTTTATATATTCTATATATTCTATATTCTATATATTATATATATTGAACCACAGTGTCGGTTCAGTTCATTTCGGTACGGCGCACCTATTTTGCTTTTCCACTAGTGGATGGAATGGGAGATTTGAGTACTTTTCCGTACTGCCTCAGCCGTGGTTCCATCCCCATAGTACCCGTGCCATGACGTCACGTCGGCCCACTGCCTCACACTGATTGGTCAACGAGTGTCGTCACTGGAAGCGACCTCTGACCCTTTGGGAAAAACAACTCAACCGCCATCTTTAAAACAGGCTGCTCTGCTCGGCTCTGCTTCGGCTACATTACGTCCTCCTCACTCCAGATAAATGGAATTGCACAGAAAGCCCCAAAAGTCCTGGTCCTGGTCGGTGGAAGAGGTCCACACGTTCCTCTCTTGAGGCCAAAGAAAGAATTCAAAGGCAGCTCGAGGCTCAACACAGTTTTCAGGGAGATCACCAGCTCTGGATTTGTGACTAGTCTGTGGTAATCCTGGAAATAACTGCTACGAACCCCCTAAAGCTCTCACTGAAATGTATTTACTGTGTAAATGCTCGATTGTCTGTTGTACACAGTGAGCTAGCTACATTTAGCTATCGATAGCAGCTAAGCTAACGTCCTCCCTGTGCTACTGTGCTTTATCTCGTATAATCTGCAGTATCCACGTTTTGTCATTCTGTTTTGTGCTTGTATTTAAGTTGTTGTGTGTATATTTGTATGAGAATCCCTTTCCATAACTGTGGAAATTACCAACGAGTAATGAGTGACCCGAGTATTCTCATCTGGACCTGGTCTGGACCTGGTCTCAGACATACGTACTTTTGACTTTGTAAACTGTTGGTTTTGCACTTTACTTTTGTTTTCAATAAATCTGTGATTGTATCAAGACTGTGTTTCATTCATTTATTATTATTGTAGCTGAGGTTTGGGTATCGATTGTCTGGTCTCGGAGTCTGCTGTAGTCCGGACCCGAGTCCGGACTAGCCTAGCTTAGCCTAGCCTAGCTGCTAACTCGCTACCCCTATGGCTGCCGCTGTCTCTCCCTCGGTCCTTTACTGCTCGAGTTGCCATATGACAAGTTTAAACCCTGGATCCTCCTCTGCTGGCAGTGATAGATGTGTTAAGTGTAGTATTGTAGTAGCTTTGGAATCCAGGGTTAGTGAGTGAGCAGAGTCTCGAGCTAGCGCTAGCATTAGCTTTAGCCTAGCAGTATCCTCGGACATGCAGCCCTCCTCCTCTGCTGCACAGGCTGCTGTTGCTACAGGTCCCATTCAGATTGTACAGAGCAGTCAGCACCATTGACTTCACAGTGTCTGAGTCATTCTTTTAAGACATAAGCATTTTCAAAAACTACTCGTGCTGTGCTGAATTTTCTATTAAACACTTGCTCTGGTATTATAATAAATCCATGCACCGCACCAGTACTAGTTACGCGTCACACGTAAATGACGTGGTCTGACAACGCTGAGGACATACTGGGGGTACTATTTTTGATGGAAAAGCACGCGAACTGGGCCATGGCGCGCCGTGTCAAAACGTACCGTACTCGGACTGTGGAAAAACGGCATAACTGTGGTCCTCTGTGGTTCCTTCTTCCAACTTGCGAAGACATGGTGAAAGCAACACTAGTAACAGCTCATGTGAAACAAAAACGCTATTCTCGCGTCCTTTTTTTCCTTATCCACCACCATTTTTCAAGATGGCGCATTTACACGGAGAGTACTCCTCTTATAAGTTCAATTCTAAGCCTATTCTAATACAATTCAAAACACATGGTGGAGGTAAATATTCTTAAAAAGGTCACATTTGTTATTAGTTAACATGTTTTTTCACATTGAGCTGCTGTAATAATTACACAGGGTGGCTTTAAAGGATCAGGTCCGAGACTCAGAAACAGTGACTATAGAACATGTGACTAATGTATACAATAGTTTACGGCGCTGATTAGCTGGTTCAGTTTCTCCCGCTACTCTGGGCATGTGTATGAAGGACAAATAGCACTGTAATTAGGTTTAAACCAGAGAAAAGTCAAAAAGCGTAATATGGGCCCTTTAAATAAAGCTACAGTAACTGTCATGTTCTACTAGTGTTGTATTTTGTATAAAATATTATTGGACACACGGAGCAGGAGAAGCTCGCTTTTAATAATAACAGAAAATTTCACCAACAGAGGGATCTGCAAGGCCACAAAAAGTGAACCATGTGACTGGACTGCAAGTACAAAGTAGTTACTGGTGTAAACCTACTTGATGGTGCAGGGGAGGCAGAGCTGGTGCTGTGGTCTCCAGTGTACATCCAACCTGTGAGTCCTCAGTATGTCCGGATCTGTTATGAACTCGAGAAACTGCTGGAAGCTCGGATAGACCCTCGACTTGCCTGCTTCGTTCACTTTGGAAGGGTGGGACATGTTGCTAAAGTGCTTCAAGATGCGGATCCCGTACACTTGATAATAAGCATCATTGTCTTCCAAAAACTTGTTTTTGTAGGCCGAGATGAGCCGCACCAGAGGGTCCCGCACAAAGATGAACTTGGTGTAGTGCTTCAGTTTGGCCTGCAGGGGGAGCAGAGGATTTGAGTCTATTCAGTAGTTTTTACACTTCTCCTAACTTGTATGATGTATGAGCTGCAAATACTTTGACTTTTATTTATTATTAAGCGGTAACCCACTAAGCAAGCCGACGTTGAATCAACGTAATTTGAACGTCGTTGTCCGACGTAGAATATAGGTCACTGGTGGGTGCAGAATGAAAGTTTTCTCGACGTCGTTTCCCGACGTCACCTCAACCTCCAAATGTTACGTTGATGGCACGTCAATTCAAGGTTTGAATGTGGTACGGAACCGGTCGGGTCTGACGTCCTATCAACGTCTCATATGACCAAAATATTGACGTTTATATGACGTTCGTTTTCAGTCGTTCCCACTAAGCAAGCAGATGTCAAAACAACGTAATTTCAACGTCATCTGGACGTTCATTCAAGGTTGCAATGTGGTACAGAACCGGTCGGGTCCAACATCCTATCAACGTCTTATATGACCAAAATATTGCCTTCATATGACGTTCGTTTTCCGTTGTTCCCACTAAGCAAGCAGATGTCAAAACTATGCCATTTCAACATCATCTGGACGTTCAAATGACGTCGCGGCCACGTTCATTCAAGGTTGCAATGTGGTACAGAACCGGTCGGGTCCGACGTCCTCTCGACGTCTTATATGACCAAAATATTGACGTTTATATGACGTCCATTTACAGTCCTATTGACCTACTTAACCTCTGCAGAATCACTCACTGGTCGAGACATACTTTTTGCAATAGGCAAGGCACGTTTATTTGTATAGCACAGTCAAAACAAAAGGAAACTCAAAGCACTGAACAAAAGATAGAAACAATCAAACAAGGCATTACAATTATAAATATTGACAGTAAATTAAAAAGATACAAATAAAATCTCTCATAAAATCTCAGTTGAAGCAGAAACAGAAGTGTTTTAAACCTGGATTTTAACATTGTCAAAGAAGAAGCCTGTCTCACATTTCCAGGAAGACCGTTCCAGATTTTAGCCTTGTGAATCTGATATGCAGCTTTATCATGTTTAGTTCTGACTTTGGGCAATAAACGATAAACACAGCATTCAAAAATCATTAGAACAACTGTAGTAGAAGGATATCAGTCATTATTGCAAATGGAGCTGCATTAAAAATCATGTTTCTCTACATCAAAGTACAAGTTAAAGCACACAGGGCACAGTGTTATGAACACTACTGTACTGAACAGTTCATGCCAAAGTAAAAAAACATGATTGTAGCGCCTATGTTTGGATCAGTATTAAAACAGGCACAAGCTACACTCTAGGTTCCCCAGATGTAAAAACACAATCTGAAAGGCAGAAGAATGCATTTATTGAATGGTGATGTTCCAACATGTGTCCTCTCTTGGTCTTCAGTCTCTCATCACAAGGTCCAAGCACAGCACCTGAAAATGTGGAACATGTTTAGTTTCAACATAATGTGGCAAAGTGATATAACAACACATAACTTTCTATTAATGCCTCAAACCACTCGATCCGTCACCATGTGATACAAACCTTGGCACTGCACTAGCTCGAGACACTGGAAGACACTCCGTCTGAGAAACTTGGGATAAGGCTTTGGTCATTGGAGTAATTCCATGTAAAAAACAATTGCAAATGTGCATTTGTTTTGCACATGGACACAAATGAGCCCTGAAAGCTACTTACCCTGTATTACTCTACACATGTTGCATTTCCGAGGGGGCATTTTCCCCTTGTTGCTCTTTTCCCTCATCTTGAGTGAGTTGCTGAACAATCTGAGAAAAAGATAGATGTTTTCAAAGAGAATACACCAAATAATGGTTTATTCTAAAAACAACATATTAATACAGAACAATAATCAATGTGTGAGAGTGTGATTCTTACCTTTGAACACCTTCAACACAGTCTGACACCTGTAAGACTGAAACACACATGACACATTAGGAATACACATAGAACATTAGTTATTGCAAGAATCATGAAATTATACTCTATGGATTTCACAATAATTGACTGCATTAGCAAAGGTAAATGTATTTTAATTAACATATGGCTGGTTTTAAAGTTTAGAAGAAAAAGTAAGAAATTGAATAGAGTTGCAAGCGCTAGTTAGCTTGCTACCAGCAGATGAATGGATATTTAATATTTGCAGCTAACAATAACAAAAATAACAACTGTAGTGGCTCATTTAAACAGCCACAGTGAGAAGAAGTGAAAGTCTCTGACATTGAAGACCTGGGAAGACATTAAATCAATTTATTAAACAAAGCAATACATGAACATTAAACTCTCTTTCTGCAGCAGGTAACATCTGTGTGCTCCTATGGTCCCACATGGTCCCACATGGGCCCACACCTGAACTCAACTCCAACTGATGACATCACAGGTGTCTAAATGATGGGAGTGTCCCAAATATTAAAGCTGATCTCCCTGTTTTTAAACTTAGTTTACTAAGTACTGTTGTCTTTTTGCAGTTTATAAACCATTGTGAAATATACAGTAACTTTACATTTTAGAATTGAATTATTATTTTAAAACTCAAGAATCTTAACCTTTTTTAACACATAGTTTGTTGGACAGTCTAACCTAAGAATTCTTAATGTGTTAAAAATAGTTTGAAATATGAAAAACATATTTTAAACTTTAACTTAAAAACAAAAAAAGGTGTCTCCCTTTCAGCTGAGCAGTGCCAGCCGTTATTATTATAGATTAATGCACTGGCAATTCAAAATACAGATAATATACAAAATATACTTAACAAAATCCACGTATACGTGAGAAAACAACTTACTTTCTGTCTCCAACTCTTTTCAATGTGGAAATGATACATCTATATCTAAAAACTGTGCAGACTGTGTACTTACTAGAGAGGGTGATTCCAAGTAAATAAAGCAGGGCAGCGACAGAGGTACAGATTCAACGTCATATCAACGTCTGGGAAGGCATTGCTTTACGTCCAGATGCACACCTTACGTCGTTTAGACGTGGAAAACAGGTCCTCGACCGAGCGACTCACGTATCAGGCTGTAACCTCGCATAAGTGTGCGTCGGTTGTTTAGGGTGTTATCTATTATTTTTTCACAGTAGTCAGAAAAAATTCCTGGCCGTGGTGTAGCGGTTGCGTAATGAGACTTCAGTCGTAATGACGCGGGTTCAAATCCCCGCCGGAAAACTTTTGACTTTTCACTTTTTAGCGAACAATTTTTCTGTTTGGTTAAAAACGAATAAACACTCAACATAAGATTATGTAGTGGCTAATAATAAAACTTGTGAACCCATGCATTTGCATAAAATCTCAAGTGCTCACCCCTTATTTGCAAACTTGAGATTGTTAGCACAACAAATGCATACATTCACAAGTTTTATTATTAGCCAAATACGTAATCCTATGTTGAGTGTATATTAGTCTTTAACCAAACAGAAAAAAATTGTTCGTTAAAAATCAAAACAAATATGTAAAGATTATAATACACACACGTGGGCTCGAACTCACGTAACCAAAGCTGCACACATTTGCTTAACCACTACACTACCGTCAGGTACACTGAGATTGCTTCACAGCCTATATATTGTATTGCTAGATCAAGACGTACTGCGTCGGTCGGCCGATGACCTGTTTTCGACGTCTAGGGGAGGTCGGGATTGAACGTCATATCCACGTATATGGGAGGTCATTGTTTTACGTCCAGATGCGCACCTTGCACAGACGTCGTTTGGACGTAAATAAAAGGTCACCACCGACCGACGCGATATTGACGTGATCTGGAGGTTGAGTGGACGTCTGATGTTTAGTGGGAAGGGCCAAGTAATGCCGGGGCGAAGCAGCCCGACGGCGCTCCCTAAACACTGATAAATCAGAGCCGGAGGCACTTAACAGCTTTACTCCTGCTGTAGTGCCTAGTGAAATCAATGGGGACATATGGAGGGGGTAGGTGACCTCATGATGTCGAGGTGATTGACGCGCTTGTCAATCACCGATAACACAATAGTTGCGTCCGTCCACTTGTGCGCTTTAAACAATGTATCCTTGTATTATACATTAATTATGGAAACCTATATTGTTTTAGCTCAAAAGACTTTTTGAAAATTATCTTTATCAGGCATGAGCCCCAAATGGGGTAAGGGGTTATTGCTTCCCCAACAAGTAATGCCTGGGCAAAGCCACTGCGACGCTGCTCCCCAAACAATGATAAATCCGTGCCGGAGACACTGACTGGCTTTTCTCCTGTTTTAGTACAGAGTGAAATGATTGAGGTCCTATTAAAGGGGATGGTGACTTCAACTGACCTAGCCTTACCCACTGCACGCGCGTCTCTCCTCAGGCGAGCGCACTGGGGAAGAGACATTTGTATACACACCGGCAGCGAGCACAACGCGCAGCAGAGAAGAGAAGCTCTCTGGAGACAGGCGACAGACGAGTAGATCAACTTTGAAGCTCCGCCTACCTGTTCTTTCAGCGTATTTTCCTCATCAAATGTAATAAGTGTATCACTTTAGATACATTTTGTCAGTTAACGGTATTGTAACTGCCATTTTAACAGCAATGTTTTTTGCCTTGTTTATATCACTCCTGCAGAATCCTTTATGTCCATAGTCCATATATTGTCAAGCATAGGCCCAGGTACCAGCCTAAATTGTTGTTGCCCCTCTCTCCCGGGACACTAGTTATTGGACGCCACAGCCCACAGAAAATGTTAAAAAGAGAGGAGAAGAACGTACAGCAAGAGGCTGGAGCAGAAACTGGGACGTGGACAGGGGAAGAGGAAGGAGGAGAAACGTCGAAGTGCCAGTTCAAGATGGATTTTCCTGGGACTCGGGAGCAGGAGCGGCCAGACGCGGGACAACTGGACGAGCCAGAAAGCATTTATTTGGACTAGTTCGAATATAGTGAAAGAAGTAACAAACATTAAAAATGCCTACATTAAGAATTTGTAAAATAAACAAAAATATATATTAAACAAATAAGTTAGCTGTGGCTACCGGTGGAGAGCATGCTACTAAGGAAGGTGCCCAGGGGTGCTACTACAAAACTCACCACAGTGGACACAGCAGACACAGCAAATGAAATGTGCAAAGATAACTCGTGTACCCAGTGCACTAAATCACATGCAATAATGGGGTGCCTCACCAATGTGCCTAGCTCAACCACCTGGAGGCACCCAGCGTCTCTAAAGCAAAAAAAAAGAAAAACAGTAAATCGTAAGATCAAAAATTGTAAGATACAAACAATTGACCCAGGTGCATGAAAACAATCACAAGATAGCAGTCCTGCTGCTGGGTTGTTGACCTCGGTTGGCCTCCCCAGGTCTCCTGGTATCTCCTCCATGCTCTGGACACTGCGCTGGGAGACACAGCAAACCTTCTTGCCACAGCACGAATGGACATTCTATTTTGGATGAGCATCACTCCCTGAGCAACTAGTGTGGGTTGGAGATGCCTCCATGATGTGAGAACACTGGACAAATGCAAAAGTGTTCCAAAAATACGTTACAGAGGATGAAGACAGGGAAATGGTAATGACAAAACCATTCCTCTTATGGAGTGATCTTGCTAATTGCCTCTCATTTCCACCTCTTGTCTGTTTAATTTCCTCAACACTTACTGTGAAATTGATTCACAATAAGTGTGGCTTCCTAACTGGACAGACTGATATCCCAGAAATTTCACTGACTTGGAGTTACATTGTGTTTTCTGAGCGTGCCCTACGTTTTTGTGAGCAGTGTGTGTGTGTGTGTGTGTATATATATATATATATATATATATATATAATAAAAAACGGAAAAGTGGGGCGTGCAATATTATTCGGCCCCCTTGCGCTAATACTTTGTAGCGCCACCTTTTGCTGCAATTACAGCTGCAAGTCACTTGGGGTATGTCTCTATCAGTTTTGCACCTCGAGAGACTGGAATTCTTGCCCATTCTTCCTTGCAAAACAGCTCGAGCTCAGTGAGGTTGGATGGAGAGCGTTTGTGAACAGCAGTCTTCAGCTCTTTCCACAGATTCTCGATTGGATTCAGCTCTGGACTTTGACTTGGCCATTCTAACACCTGGATACGTCTATTTGTGAACCATTCCATTGTAGATTTGGCTTTATGTTTTGGATCATTGTCCTGTTGGAAGATAAATCTCCGTCCCAGTCTCAGGTCTTTTGCAGACTCCAACAGGTTTTCTTCCAGAATGGTCCTGTATTTGGCTCCATCCATCTTCCTATCAATTTTAGCCATCTTCCCTGTCCCTGCTGAAGAAAAGCAGGCCCAAATCATGATGCTGCCACCACCATGTTTGACAGTGGGGATGGTGGGTTCAGGGTGATGAGCTGTGTTGCTTTTACGCCAAACATATCGTTTTGCATTGTGGCTAAAAAGTTCGATTTTGGTTTCATCTGACCAGAGCACCTTCTTCCACATGTTTGGTGTGTCTCCCAGGTGGCTTGTGGAAAACTTTAAACAAGACTTTTTATGGATATCTTTGAGAAATGGCTTTCTTCTTGCCACTCTTCCATAAAGGCCTGATTTGTGCAGTGCACGACTGATTGTTGTCCTATGTAGAGCCCTGCACGGGCCTATTATCTGGGCCCGAGCCCGGCCCTGGCCCGAGGGGGTGGCGCCCCAGCCCGGCCCGGCCCGATATGGTTTCTGAATTTTCAGGCCCGAAACCCGCATCAAGCCCGCCTTTTTTTTTTTTTTGTAACCTCCCATAACAATGTTTTAGCGTAGTATATAGTGCCGCGCACTGATATGAACGCAGACTTAGCTAGAGGGCGGAGTTATACATGGTAGTGATGTGTTGCAATGAGTTCTGTGTGTGCGGAGTGAGCGGCCGCATCTGTATGATGACCAGATGCTGCAACACACCTGTAAGTAACGCTATGTGGCGTCAATGACAACACTACACAGAACAACAAACACTACTGCGTGATAGAACGCTATATTCAGTGGGTGCGTTCGTAAATGTATTCTGCCGCTCTGAAAATGAAGAGCCCGAGCCCGGCCCGTGTCCGAGGTCATTATGCGGTCATCGGCCCGAAGCCTGGCCCTCGGGCTGTCGGGCCGTCGGGGCCCTCGGGCCAAGGGCTCAAGTGCAGGGCTCTAGTCCTATGGACAGACTCTCCCACCTCAGCTGTCGTTATCTGCAGTTCATCCAGAGCGATCATGGGCCTCTTGGCTGCATCTCTGATCAGTCTGCTCCTTGTTTGAGATGAAAGTTTGGAGGGATGGCCGGGTCTTGGTAGATTTGCAGTGGTCTGATACTCCTTACATTTCAATATAATTGCTTGCACAGTGCTCCTTGAGATATTTAAAGCTTGGTTAATCTTTTTGTATCCAAATCCGGCTTTAAACTTCTCCACAACAGTATCTCGGACCTGCCTGGTGTGTTCCTTTGTCTTCATGGTTCTCTCTGCGCTTTAAACAGAACCCTGAGACTATCAAAGAGTGAGGCCATTCATTTATTCTGTTTTTAAATGATGAATTTTAGACCCTCATTTCCACTGAAACAAACAGGTATGCACCTGCAGGTAGGAATTTTGAAACAGATTTCATGAATAAACTATCCCTTTATTGTCCCTGATGATTGGAGGTCTATTTTTATCATGGAATTTTCTTGCTTAAGAAAAAAATAGATTTTTAGCATTTTTTTAACCAAACTCTTTATATGCATTTGAATGTCATTAAAGTGGTTCTCACCCCCGCTCCTCGGAGCTTACGTTACTCACATTTCCTGTTCAAATCTTCCTCTAAATGGGCGTAGCCTGGAGGACTAAAGGGGCGTGAACGAGACTGGGCCGTTTACATAGCTCTGGGCGGGGGGCTGCTGACGTCAGGTCCAACTTGCAGACGTCAGGTCCAACTTCTGTGCCAGTGTTGGCGCCAGATTCAAAATTCAAATGTAGTAATACAGGTCGCCAGCAGATGGCGCCTCACAGACGGTTTTAGGCAGAAAGTCTAACTTTCAACTAATTTGCACCAAAGTGACAATATTATGACCAGGATATGTAGACAACACTATTGGACACTCATTTATACCGTTTATCAGCAAAAAAAAGTGGATTTGAGGGTGAGTTGTCCTTTAATGTTGTGCGGCTGCGCTCGTGCTAATTCATGTCAAAGATTATAACAGGGAAAACTTTCCTCAGATCTGGGGAAAAGTGCCAGGGCATGGCCTCGCATTTCAAGTTTGCACAGGGCCTCGCACCCCTCTTGCGACGGGCCTGCCTGGGGTTCCATACTTATTCCATTTACGGATGATGGAGGCCACTGTGCTCATTGGGACCTTTAAAGCAGCAGAATTTTTTCTGTACCCTTCCCCAGACTTGTGCCTCAAGACAATCCTGTTTCGGAGGTCTACAGACAATTCCTATGACTTCATGCTTGGTTTGTGCTCTGAAATGCACTGTCAACTGTGGGACCTTATACATACAGGTGTGTGCCTTTCCAAATCAAGTCAAATCAACTGAATTTACCACCGGTGGACTCCAATGAAGCAGTAGAAGCATCTCAAGGATGATCCGTGGAAACAGGATGTACCTGAGCTCAATTTTGAGCTGCATGGCAAAGGCTGTGAATATTTATGTAGATGTTTCTTTTTTTTTTTTTATACATTTGCAAAAATCTCAAAAAAACGTTTTTCATGTTGTCATTATGGCGTGTTGTGTGTAGAATTGTGAGGATTTTTTTTTATTTTAGAATAAGGCTGTAACAAAATGTGAACAATATAAGCGCTGTGAATACTTTCCGGATGCACTGTATTTACAAGATACACAGTGATTTTTCTCTCTTACCATTTTTTCTGCTTGTGGGAAGTTGAATATATACTTGAAATTCTTGATATCATGGATAAGAGGTCCATGAATCTGAACGGTCATGGGGTCCGGGTACGGTCCAGTCTCGTTTTCCCTTATGGCGTACAGAACTGTCTTCCAGTTGGTACATCCAACCTGTAGACAGATCAGGACAGAGCAGAATACCTTTGTTTAAATGTGGTGTCATACTGTGTTGGTATTCAGAGAAATAGACTACTTGCACGTCAGCATATGCTACTTCCGGTAGGAAAACTAATGTGCAGAGCTCTGTTTCCGGTTACAATGGCACAGTGTGGGAGTCTCAGTTTCAGTTCTGGTTGGGTCTGTCAAATGGCTCAAGAAAACACAGATTTGCATTTTTCTAGATGCCTTGGGAATCTACGAAATATATCCATTGATGATGATCATTGGATTGTTGAATGTTTTTTTCTCCTGCTCCTCAAAGGGATTTACATTTTTTACTTCTCAGTACTTGCACGATTTTGAGGGGAAGTTACAACAATACAGCATTTCTAACTATATGTAGCTATATTATGTAACTATACTAAATAAAAGGTGTTATCTGAGCAGAAATACTGCGTTAGCAAGTGCATTTTCAGCAACTACTCTGTGCGTTAGCCTCCAAACGTAATAAACTATCAAAAACACTTGCATAACTGCTCCTCAAGATTGTTAACGTTAGCATTATTGGAGAAATTAGCATAGAAGCTAACATCGAAATTCTTCTGTATTTTTGCCAACTGTGCTACATTTCGAAAAAAAATACATAGGCCAAAATCTGAAAAATAATATCGGTGAGGCATCTCAATAACAAGGGGCTAACATAGTTATAATGTAATGCACATGCAGGCCGAACTATCAATATAAAGGCTGAGCAATAATACAATGTATTTGTGTGTCTGCTCTTGAGCCTGTAAGTAAAGCTTTATTAAATAGACTCTGCTTCAAGGATTTATATAATTTATAAATCATTTCATTTGTTTATGTTACAGTCACTATACTAATGAATACTAACTTGTTATTCTATTACTAACCATACCATTGTTTTCTGCCGTGTCTGATCTCAGGAGACCTCAATGAACACTGAGCGGGACGCTCGTTCTCCTCCGCTCACAGAACGAGCAGCAAACAGCCTGCGTCCTGCTAAAAACTAGAGCTAGGGCTTCGGCTTCGAAATTCGAATATAATTCTAAAATAAATAAAAAATATATACATTCGAACACATATTAGACAGCCCTTACAATTCAAAATGTATTCAATAACTGCAAATAAAATAGTTAGCTCCCAAAGGTTTCACCGATACGTGCTAGGCAGGTAATAGCTAAGCTAGCTACTGTAGCTCCCTGGAACTACATGTTAATGGTTACTTCAGGGTTTTTTGCGATCGCTTTTTGTCACATTAAAATAGTAATTTGGTCATGAAAACGAGGACAAGAAATTCTGAAAATGTCCGTGCACGTGTGTTAAGGATGTACAGTGCCTTGCGAAAGTATTCGGCCCCCTTGAACCTTTCAACATTTCGCCACATTTCAGGCTTCAAACATAAAGATATAACATTTTAATTTTTTATCATGAATCAACAACAAGTGGGACACAATCGTGAAGTGGAACGAAATTTATTGGATAATTTAAACTTTTTTAACAAATAAAAAACTGAAGTGGGGCGTGCAATATTATTCGGCCCCTTTACTTTCAGTGCAGCAAACTCACTCCAGAAGTTCAGTGAGGATCTTTGAATGATCCAATGTTGTCCTAAATGACTGATGATGATAAATAGAATGCACCTGTGTGTAATCAAGTCTCCGTATAAATGCACCTGCTCTTTGATAGTCTCAGGGTTCTGTTTAAAGCGCAGAGAGAACCATGAAGACAAAGGAACACACCAGGCAAGTCTGAGATACTGTTGTGGAGAAGTTTAAAGCCGGATTTGGATACAAAAAGATTTCCCAAGCTTTAAACATCTGAAGGAGCACTGTGCAAGCAATTATATTGAAATGGAAGGAGTATCAGACCACTGCAAATCTACCAAGACCCGGCCGTCCCTCCAAACTTTCATCTCAAACAAAGAGAAGACTGATCAGAGATGCAGCCAAGAGGCCCATGATCACTCTAGATGAACTGCAGATAACTACAGCTGAGGTGGGAGAGTCTGTCCATAGGACAACAATCAGTCGTGCACTGCACAAATCTTGCCTTAATGGAAGAGTGGCAAGAAGAAAGCCATTTCTCAAAGATATCCATAAAAAGTCTTGTTATAGTTTGCCACAAGCCACCCGGGAGACACACCAAACATGTGGAAGAAGGTGCTCTGGTCAGATGAGTCGCCTGAGGGACAATGTGGATGACATCGCTCAGGAGAGAGAGGCAGCGCTGAAGAAACGGAGGAAAACAAACACTGCAGCAGTGATGAGGGAAGCGTGTGACGCTGTGGTTGCTCAAGTGGAGGAGAGGTTTAGCTCCAGCGATCACCTGTTTGCTGCACAGCTTGTGGACTGCACACTTTTCACTAACTTCAGCAAATCATTTCCATGTGCTATGTTTGAAGCAGCAAATAAAATCTGGCCAATTGGAAATAAAGTCAAACTGGAAACTGAGCTGAAGTCCCTGTACAGTCACTCAGAGTTGCATGCTGGCAACACTCTGTCACTGCTGCAGCTGATCTTTGACAACAACCTACAGGATGCATTATCAGAAACTGTGTCACTGATCAAAATTATTATCACCACACCAATGACCACAGCAGAGTCTGAGAGGAACTTTTCAACGCTAAAAAGGATAAAGACATTTACAAGAAACACCATGGGGCAGCAGAGATTGAATGCACTGGCTATGTTGTCCATTGAAAATCTCACTCTAATGTCGGTCGGTCTTGAAATATGAATAAATGGCTTTGTCTCATTAGCAAATCTTGTTTTTACAAAGTCTGAATATACTCGGCCACCGTGTCACTGTTGCAGACAGCGTACAGCGTACAGCTCCGTGTGTGACTCAGGGCACAGCCGTGTACAGCTCATGAGTGAATGCTAAGAGGCGCCCCCCCGTGTGTGGCTAGTTATGCCAACAAAAAGAGAGATGGATGACCTAAAAAAGTCGCTGGATTCACTAACAGAGGAACTAAACGAACTGAAAGAGCTGCACAAACATCCCACAGAGACATCGATGAAGGATGATGTCGGAGAAATTATAAAGTCACTCGACTTCCTAACTGGAGAAATAACTGCTATTAAAGCGCAACAAAAACAACTTCTACATCTGATGGAGGAAGTCAAGGAGTTACGAAAGCAAAACGCAGAAAAGGATGAAAGAATATCTGACCCGGAAACAGGGCTGGACTGGGACAAAAAAACGGCCCAGGCATTTTTTCCTTCCTAGCGGCCCAGGCAACTCAAAAGTTTCAAGGAGCCATATTTGACAAAAAAACTAAAAACCACATCCGTCTGGAGCCGCAAAAAAAACAAAAAACAGCGTTTTATAAGGCTTATATGAAGGTAACAGGGGCTGAAGCTGTATTAGCTACATTAGCTATATTAGCTATATTAGCTACCTTAGCTACATTAGCTATATTAGCCTAATATCTAAATGACAAAGTAAAGGCTAAACACATGAAAACCATTCATGATTATCAAATGTGTATTTTCATTGCAGCGTGTCCTGGAGAGAATGACGCACCACGTGACAACTCTGCTTTAAGTTTAACTTCCATATTTTTGCTTTCATGCAATTGTACAAATACAGTAAATAAATCTGCTTTTTGGCTCCGAGTTCACCTGCATCACTGTCTGTTCATATCCATCACAGGCTGAAGTTTGCTGAAGCTGAACGTCCTTAATGGCCTTTTCTTTCACCGTCTTTGCGAAGGTATTTGAAGTCTGAAAATAGGTGCTCTGACTTTATGATGAATGAATCTTTCAGTGAACAGTGTTTAAAGCTTCATTGTTCCTCCTGTTGCAACAAAACTTTTCATTACATCGCAAACATGAAGAAGTCCTTCCTCATTGACTGAAAGTAAATGTTCATTCTCATTCTTAGTCCAGTCTTATCGACTCTTTCTCTTTATCTTTGGGATCCATGCGCACACACAGTCTATAACACAGTCCTATAATGCCCCCACGCCGGTTTGATTATACAGCACAGCCGCCTGGGCCCGGGCCGCCGTCACAGGATATACGCACTACGTACAGAAAAATCTAAAATTTAAATATTACTTATAACAAGTTTTTTGCAGCATTGAAAAACGTTAAAATGTTTTTTCCTCCTACAGAAGCCACATTGAAAATAAGCCTCACACTCCCGTTTTCAGACATTTTTGAAAAGGCTCCAGGAGCCACTTTAGGGGCACTAAAGAGTTGACCCCTGGTTTATACAGTAGTGGATGCAAATACTGTATGAGGATCAGGATTTCTGCAGTTTCAACAATATAAATAAAGTACAAAGTCCCTACATTAAACAGTAATAAACATGTCTCAGAGTGAGGGAGGTGGGCACAGACAATACATTGTTTGTTTTACAGGGATAGAATTGGTCATAAATATCTGAAATGCATATTGTCCAGGCCAATTAGCTGGCTCTAAATTCTGTTTAATCTGTTCACAACGATTTTACTTTGGGCTCAAACTTGAACTGTATAATGCAATGGAAAATTTAGGTACCCGAGCTTGTCATTTAGAGGAGAGGGGAGACCGGACTGTTATTCTGCAGGCGGTGTATTTTTGGTGCACAAATTACGAAAAGACATGCATGGTCCTGTGCGCGTTAAGTCTTGGGTACATGGTCACGTTGCGGCTACGCCGCATCCACAGTGTTTGTGTTGTGAGCGGTTCCTGCGTCCAGCTCAGAAGCCGCTGGGATGCGGGAACACAGCGGCCAGCTGGAGGTGGGGTGGAATCCCGTCCGAGTACATACAGCAGGTGCCTCCGCGGATCAACACGCGCGCATCCCCACAGACATTTCTCAACGGATTTACACTTTTCACAAACATGGTTTATTTGTATGAGGCAAGACAGACCGGCCCCAAATATAGGTCATCGGCCCGTCGGGCATGCCCGGTACGGTCCCGATGGCCAGTCCATCCCTTGGTCCACCTCAGAGCCTCAGATACAGCCGTACTGATCGCACACTCCCGGATCTTGACGAGTCCTTTTGAGACTGTGAGTTTGCAGCATCTGGGAATGCAACATCTTCGGGCTGCAAGTTCAAGTCCTGAAGACAGAGACCGGAGACACTGTTTCCCCAGATCCCGCAAAAACTTGACTCCTCAAGCTGTAGGTGGGCCATCGTCACTGTGTTTCCAGGTAAACACCCACACACCGGCAGACAATTAAAATCACTGTAGATCTGGTGTGTGTGGGAGGGGCCGATGGCACAGACCGGTTGCCTCGTTCTGTCAGTGTGCCCCAGGGCAGCTGTGGCTAAAGTAGATATTTTTATCACCACTGGAGTATGGAGGTGGAATTTGAAGTGTCTTTGAGAGTCCAAAAAGCTATGTATAAACCGAGTGGAAAAATAGTGCCCGGGGAGTTTGACCCGCCCACACTCATCCACAAAGCTTTCTGATTGGGCGAAAAAAAAATTAAAAATCTCTCCATTGGTCAAACTATTCTGCCACCAAGAAATCTTACTGGTCAACGTTTTGTCAAGAAAAGAGTACATTTGAAATACATGACATTTGAAAATTACGTGACTTGATATTTATAATGGCTTAGGTTCAAATGGTCAAAAATAGACATACATTTTAAACATAGAAACACATTTGTAGTTACGGACATCCCCTTTAAACGACGGTGGTGGTTTGTCTCAGATCCTGACGCAGGAGGACTGGAACGTGGTCCTGTACAACGGCATGGCGGCCACCTCTCCTCTCGCCGCTCTCTACTTCGTGGCTCTGATGACGTTTGGGAACTACGTGCTCTTCAATCTGCTGGTGGCCATTCTGGTGGAGGGATTCCAAGCTGAGGTGAGCGCCCGTTAGTTCAAGTTCAACCTCTAACCAAGAGATATGATGCATTATTTATGAGCTGGTTAATGATAATGACACTCTTTTTTTTTTTTTTTTTTTTTTTTATAATGACACTCTTTACTTTGTCCTTTTATGTTTAAAAATGAGAAATAATATCTAAATGTAGAAATGAAATAGTGAAACTGGTATGAAGTGGTAAGAAATTCTTGTATGCCTGTAACTCCCTATGCTGCCACCAGAGGGAGTAGTTTGCATTGAGGCTGCAGATCCAGGACTGAGGCTGCAGATTCCAGGACTGAGGCTGTAGATCCAGGACTGAGGCTGTAGATCCAGGACTGAGACAGTAGACCCAGGGCTGAGACTGTAAGACCCAGGACTGAGACAGTAGACCCAGGACTGAGACAGTAGACCCAGGACTGAGACTGTAGACCCAGGACTCAGACTGTAGACCCAGGACTGGGACTGTAGATCCAGGACTGAGACTGTAGATCCAGGACTGAGACTGTAGACCCAGGACTGGACTGTAGATCCAGGACTGGGACTGTAGATCCAGGACTGAGGCTGTAGATCCAGGACTGAGGCTGTAGATCCCGGACTGAGGCTGTAGCTCCAGGACTGGGACTGCGGATCCAGGACTGAGACTGTAGAGCCAGGACTGGGACTGTAGATCCAGGACTGGGGACTTTTAGATCTAGGACTGAGACAGTAGACCCAGGACTGAGACTGTAGATCCAAGACATGAGGACTGTAATCCAGGACTGGGACTGTAGACCCAGGACAGAGGAGGCTTCCAGGCGGGGGAGAAATTGTCAAAACCAATTCATGGGGCAATATTTTTTTTTTTTTTTTTTTGATGTGAGAAGAAAAATCCCCCTTGGGCAATTATGGCAAGTTTATTTGTATACACACAATCAAAACAGATCAACAAAACAAGTGATAAATACATAAATATAATATATCATGGTATATTCTTTCCGTACAGACGCCAAAAATACAGCTTCTTCCTCGCTCCCACTTGAATCCAAAAATAAAGTGATGAATATGTGTATTGAGCGAAACTGCTGGAAATATCTTTGGCGTGAATCGATAAAAGTAATTACTGTGTGGTTTATTGCGGCGTGTGCTGGAGATGTGCTGCTTATCATGAATGCCTATTTGAGAAGTAATAAAATCTGCTCCCGCCCTTGACATTAGCCCATAAAGTACCACCAAGACACCAGATTCCCGTCTCGGAGGCAGATCCACAGAAAGAGAGTGGATATTTTACTAGTTCAATGTTAAAGTGTAGCTGTCACGAATGCAGAACGAAAGGAGAAGTCCCTGTGGCTCCTCAGAGTCCCAGCCAGAGGCCAGTCCCTGTGCTAGACCCAGGACTGAGGCTGTAGATCCAGGACTGAGGCTGTAGATCCGGAGGACTGAGGCTGTAGACCCAGGACTGAGGCTGTAGGACCCAGGACTGAGGCTGTAGACCAGGACTGAGGCTGTAGACCCAGGACTGAGGCTGTAGACCCAGGACTGGAGGCTGTAGATCCATGACTGAGGCTGTGTAGATCCAGGACTGAGGCTGTAGATCCAGGACTGAGGCTGTAGACCCAGGGAGGCTAGATCCGGACTGGCTGTAGATCCAGGACAGAGGCTGTAGATTCAGACTGAGGCTGTGATTCAGGACTGAGGCTGTAGATCACCAGGACTGAGGCTGTAAGATCCAGGACTGAGGCTGTAGATCCAGGGACTGATGCTGTAGATCCAGGACTGAGGCTGTAGATCTGGACTTCTTCTGTATCGATATGTAGATTATTTCGTTTATATGTATTTATTTTAATGAATTAATCTCTTAATTTTGACTCAATGCCTAGATCTTCTTTTAAAGTAGCAGTTTGTTAAAATTCTCATGTCAAGTCATCATTAAAGGGCCCTAATCTGTCATAATTAAAGGGCCCTAATCTGTCATAATTAAAGGGCCCTAATCTGTCATCATTAAAGGGCCCTAATCTGTCATCATTAAAGGGCCCTAATCTGTCATCATTAAAGGTCCCTAATCTGCCATCATTAAAGGGCCCTAATCTGTCATCATTAAAGGGTCCTAATCTGTCCATAATTAAAGGGCCCTAATCTCTCATAATTAAAGGGCCCTAATCTGTCATCATTAAAGGGCCCTAATCTGTCATCATTAAAGGGCCCTAATCTGTCATCATTAAAAGGTCCCTAATCTGCCATCATTAAAGGGCCCTAATCTGTCATCATTAAAGGGTCCCTAATCTGTCATCATTAAAGGGCCCTAATCTGTCCATCCTTAAAAGGGCCCTAATCTGTCATAATAAAGGGCCCTAATCTGTCATAATTAAAGGGCCCAAATCAGTCATCATTAAAGGGCCCTAATCTGTCATCATTAAAGGGCCCTAATCTGTCATCATTAAAGGGCCCTAATCTGTCATCATTAAAGGGACCTAATCTGGACATCATTAAAGGGCCCAAATCTGTCATCATTAAAGGGCCCTAATCTGTCATCATTAAAGGGCCCTAATCTGTCATCATTAAAGGGACCTAATCTGTCATCATTAAAGGGCCCTAAATCCATCATCATTAAAGGGCCCTAATCTTTCATCATTAAAGGGCCCTAATCTGTCATAATAATAAACATGTTCTTTTCCAATACTTCTTTAACTGATAACAGTAGCTCAGAGATATTTTTGAATTTCTAAATTACTTTTCCAGCCTCTAAATATTGTTATTGTTTTCATTTTGATGTCCGCCCTCCACCGTTTCACCAATCAGAAAGTCTGTGATCCACGCGCCAGAATTCACCGCGTGGCAGCTAATCACACTTGTAAAGTACCATTGGCCATAACACAAAAAGGTCACGTGTGATTCCAAAAACCATTAACGACCAAACCAGTAATAAAACCAGTATTTCTATCTTTGTGAAAAAGAAAGGTGTTGGTTATAGATTTGTTTTGACTAAACTCTCGTCAATTCAGCTGTTATGGTCCCAGCTGATCCGTCTCATAGCTGGCTACCGAGTCAGGGAGAGGTGGGAGAGGCTGCCGTACCACTTTTGGCCACATTTATACACACTGCTCCTTTAACTCCCAGAGCAGCCGTTTTGATTGAAATCCAAATGTAGTCTTTTTTTCTCCAAGATGTTGGCTCTGGCTCTGATTCAAAGTCAGTGCTTGCTAGCATAGCGACGCACTGTTTACTTTCCCCAAACTGAGCTAGCTGTATCTGACAGTTTGAGTCCCTCACACTTGGCTCTAGCTCATATTGAGAGCTGCTTCTTTCTGATCCTGACCTTTCTCTTGTTTCATATAATTATCTGTCTCTCGTGTGTTTTTTTTCCGCAGGGAGACGCAAACCGATCGTATTCTGACGACGACAACTCCTCCAACTTTGACGAGAGCGAAAAGCACGACTCCATCAAACTCTCGGGTCAGTTTCCCCGCCCGAGTCCAGTCCAGCCAATATTTACTCTATACACCACTTATAGTCAGAAGTTTACATACATTTACTAATCTATCTTATCTTAAATGTCCAAATCCATAGACTGTTCACAGATGGACGATGCTAACGCCGCTAGCTAACGGAAGCGCTCTCTGTGATCCTTGTGTTTTTATTTGAATATTAAGTCTATGGTCCAAAATATATAGCTGTAAATTATGATTTACCTAAACTTTTACTCATTCTTTCACATCATCAGAGGGTCCGAAGTTAGAAGCCTGTCTCACATTTTCAAGAAGACTGTCCAAGATTTTAACCTGCATAAATCTGAAACCTCGCCATGTTTTAGTTCTGATTCTGGGACCAGCAGGAGGCCAGTCCCTGTGCTCCTCAGAGTCCCAGCAGGAGGCAGTCCCTGTGCTCCTCAGGAGTCCCAGCAGGAGGCCCAGTCCCTGCTCCTCAGAGTCCCAGCAGGTGCCAGTCCCTGTGCTCCTCAGAGTCCCAGCAGGAGGCCAGTCCCTGTCCCTGTGCTCCTTAGAGTCCCATCAGGAGACTAATCCCTGTGCTCCTCAGAGTTTCAGAAGGAGGCCAGTCCCTGCGCTCTTTTGAGACCCAGCAGAGGCTAGTCCCTGTGCTCCTCAGAGTCCCAGGATGAGGCCAGTCCCTGTGCTCCTCAGAGTCCCAGCAGGAGGCCAGTCCCTGTGCTCCTCAGAGTCCCAGCAGGAGACCTGTCCCCTGTGCTTTTCAGAGTCCCCGAAGGAGACCAATCCCTGTGCTCTTCCTGAGACCCAGCAGGAGGCCAGTCCCTGTGCTCCTCAGAGTCCCAGCAGGAGACCAGTCCCTGTGCTTTTTCAGAGTCCCCAGAAGGAGACCAACCCCTGTGCTCTTCTGAGACCCAGCAGGAATGCCAGTCCCTGTGCTCCTCAGAGTCCCAGCAGGAGACCAGTCCCTGTGCTTTTCAGAGTCCCAGAAGGAGACCAATCCCTGTGCTCTTCTGAGACCCAGCAGGAGGCCAGTCCCTGTGCTCCTCAGAGTCCCATGTGTGAAAATGTAGTTCATCATCGACACAATAATAGTTATATTTACTTGCTTTATTAAAAATGGTCATTTTTTCTCTTTCAACTTTTACCATTTCTACTCACTTTCGTGTAACAAGGGTAAAATGGATGAGGTGTTATTGCTGACCAGCCAATAAGAAGCTGGTCACATGATTGACTTTTAAATATACCACAAACATGATTCCTGCACGACTCAATCTGCAGCGTTTCACTGATTCACTGTGATCCAGTGTGTAGAATATTTCTCCTGCCTCTAACGTCCACCATTTTGTCCTTAGGAGCTCTCTTAAGAGCTAGGATTCTTTAGGAATAGCTTTTTTCTTAACTAGGGTCTACTCCTCACTTTTAGGGGAAATTCTAAGAGTTGGTCAAGATTCTAAGAAAATTCTTAGAATTTGGCCACTAGGAGCAACTTTTAGCACTTTGGCTCAGTACATCTGTGACATGTTAGTGTCATATGAACCAACTCTGGGGCCCTAAGGAGCAGAGGGAATGAACACGAGGGAATAAACATGAGGAGGCAGTGATTCAGATTCATGTATCTATAATCTGGAACAGTCATTCTGAAAATGTGAGACAGGCTTCTTCTCTGACAACATTCAATTCCAGGTTAAAAACAGTTCTGTCTACAAGATGTCAGTGTTAAAACAGTCTGACAAGGAAAGCCTCAGTGTGTTATTATTTACAGTCTATGGTTACAGAGCTGTATGTATGTCCATTACTAAGTAACTAACAGAATACAGTTACTCAAAAATAGTCTGAATACATTCCCCAACCCCACCCCCTTTGGGACTCATCCGTGTTCTGGGACCTCCCACAATACTAATTCATAAGTGACTCTGGACAGTTCACATTGTTTTCCCAATCAAACAACACTGGCCCGTCTTCTTACCTCGCAGTTTGTTACTTTCTGTTCAGCAGATAGACGGTAGGAGATATTTTATTCTTTCTCAAGCAGAAATGTTCTTTTGCTCATCTCTGTTTTGTATTGTCTTCTTCTGACTTTATCCTTCTTTGTGCCCACACCAACACAAGGTAGCAGACTATATACCTTTGTTTGAGTGAGACAGAACAAACTAAGCAAGACCAGGAAAGTTTTTAAAATACATTTATACTAAGGCTGTCAAACGATTAAACATTTTAATTGAGTTAATTACAGCTTAAATATTAATTAATTGTAATTAATCACATTTCAAACTATCTGCAAAATTATGCCATGTTTTTCTGTAAATGGTTGTACATATGTACTGTATTTGATTTTATAACAACAATAATCCATATGAAATGTATTAACACTAGGGCTGTCAAACGATTTATTTAATTAATCGCATAGTAATGGTGAGTTAACTCACAATTTAACATACTTTTTCAAATCCACTCCAATTGAAGTTAAATGAGATTATCAAATGTAATGACACATTGCCATTCATACCAAATGTATTTGAATCTGTTTGATTTGCTCCCAACATTTTACTTTTGGGCACAACCAACATGAGCTGTTAATGAAAGGGATAATTTACGAACCCCAGCTTTAATTTAGCAAGTTTAGGAGGAGGAGACATGGACAGTTCCTGAGGCTCCTTAGTTCAGCTTCAGTGGTGTATTTGCGTGCACAGGTTACACAAAGACATGCACAAAACAAGCAGAGAAAAGCTCTGTGCATGAATGGTCTTGGATCACGTTATCGCGGCGCCGTTCACTGTGTTGTTATTAGCGGCTCACAGCCGCTCGATTTGGGACCCTCTGTCCAGAGCGCCCACAGCTGCCCAGGGTGAGAACACTGTGGCCACGGAGGATGCAGACTTCAGTTCATACAGCAAACAAGTGCCCCACGGTCACACGTATTCTGTTAAAACTTGAATGTGAGACAGGCCTCCTCTCTGACAATGTTTAAAACCTCTGCCGATTGTTGTGCTAACTCAGCTGTCTGTGCTAACGAGAGACCTGTGGCATTTCTCAAGAAAGCGGGGGTCAGCGGTCCGCTGTGATTGGTCACAATCTGAGACCCGAAACACATTCTTCCTTTTTTCACTCGATCTAAAATATAATGTCACGCCAGCACAAACCTGCGCTACTTTATTCTTCAAAAGAACGTCCTGTATATCCCAATCCACTGCATGGATATGGATTGCATTTTCGTAATGAATACGAAAATAAAGTGAGTTAGTGCAGCTTTAACATACACCACATATCCTACACGTAGTCATAAAATTATACACAGAGTACATAAGAAAATGTTTGTACAATAACATTAGGTAAAGGAAAAGAGAAGTCATGTTTATCTTTAAAGTGCAAGCGCTGATGAAGCCCTTTCCACTCTCGCGAACGCCTCCTAGGCGCCAGTCCCATAATTTGCAGCCTGATCGGACCAGGATTACACACAAAAAACTAATTTAAAGGATTCAGTGCACCCCTAGTGGTCTATTTTGTTATGAAACAGTAATAATGTGAATAGAGCACAAAACAATCTCCAACCAACTAACCTTAACTTTAAGAGTGCAAGCTTTTATTTTGCACAATTGGACCAGATCAGAATTATTCCAGGTATTGAAGGAGTGTATATGGACACTGAGAATGCTTGCAGAATAATACACTAATCATAGCAGAGTAAATACAGTTAAACAGAACACACCATTATTTGCAGAATAATTAACTGTATTTACTCTGCTATGATTAGTTTAACAGAACACACCATTATTTGCAGAATAATTAACTGTATTTGCTATGTTTAGTTCAACAATGCACATTGGCCCTGATTTATGAAACTTGCATACGGCCAAATCAGGCTGTAAATGAGGCATACGCAAAAACACACACTTTTTAGTCTTTATCAAGCTGGACGTGAGCCTTTTGAGGCTTCCAGTCTTCGGGCTGACTTCATTGCTGACCTGTCGTAAAAACAGGGCGTGAAACAGGAAGTTGCTGCATTTTTTTATTTTTATGAGTTCATAAAAATGCTTATTACTAGGGTGATTCTCACGAAATCCAGATTCAAAACGATTCCAACTTCAAAAATTTCAAAAGGCATTTGAAGACTAATTTTCTATGAAACACTTTAGATGAATGTCTGAACTTACTAAGAACATTATTATTAGACATTGTTTTTGATTTTTTAAATTAAATTACAGGTATTTTAGATATTTAGTGCCAAAAAAATCTCATTACCGCAACGTGAAATCCCATCAGATATATTGTTAAAAATCATTTTTTTTGGAAATGTTCAAAGTAGCTCATCAACACTTATGCCAAGAGGAATGTATCAGTCAGAAAAGATTGCTTTGTTATATTTACAAATTTGAAAATATTTATAATATGTCTCATTACCGCAACATATTTATATTTTTTTGTGATTGGGATATAATAAGTAGTACTGCAAATTGTGTCAACACAATTGCAAAAAGAAAAAAACAAAAACAAATTATTAAATAACTTGCAAATGAACACGTTACGGTAATGAGAATGGTGTTTCGGAAATGAAATTCAATGTTTTGGAAATGAGATTTAGTGCAACATAGGTTAGAAACGATTCATATTTAACACACAATGATTATTTAAAGAATATGTTTTAATGGTCAAAAGCATTTCATTTCATCATAGTAGTAGTAACAAAATAATTCATGTATAACAAATAATAATATACATTTATAACATAGTAATGTGGATCAAAAATAAGCCCTGAAAACACCTTTTTTTTAAATTCTAAACTGCATTAAGAAAATTTAGCAAAATAATTAATAATAGCATTTTCAAATTAAAGGTAATACCTTTAATGTGAAAATACTATTATTAATAGTAAAGGTAATAATTTTTGTCACTTTAAAATAGTAATTTGGTCATGAAAACGTTAACAAGAAATTCTGAAATTGTCCGTGCATGTGTGTTAAGGATGTATATGTATACTGTATTGTCCGATTATCCTTTAATGGTGTTGATTGATAGATATGTAGTTGTTTATTGAGCGTGGCTAACTCGGCTAGCTTCTCTCGTTGTACTTGCAAAGTAATGGCAGTATTTTA